TGCCAAATTAAAAACCGAGCAAATATCACACTGGTCTTTCTTGGGCTGAAAGAAACCAATATTAAATTCCTCATTGAAAATGTCTCTATACTGACGAGAAGTAGCTGGTATGGTAATATTGTTTAAGTTACAATATTCAGTGTATAATCGATACATTTTTTGGATGCTCAATCCTTCCTCAAAGTACATTTTCGTGGAGTCTTTTCGAATATAATGAGAAGGTACTACGGGAAACAATTTAATGTGAATTCTGACAGTCTCTGTAATTTCTGGTTTTAGTCTATGAGGTCGTGTACTAGGTTTCCCACGCTTGTCCTCTTCTAAGGTTCTACTTTCTTTTAATTTGCTTAATGCTGTAGTTACCCAAGATTCTGAAATATTTAGAGTTCGCAAAAAAAAAATCTTGCAAACACGTTGTTCTTTACTGCGAATGTTGAAATAATATTCCCGAGAGAAACTTCTCCGAGACTGCGAATTGACAGTAAGAGTAACTTGTTTTGAAAGTTTGAATTAAAAATTAATTTAAAATTTTTTAAATTGGTTCATAACCTCAAAACGGAGTGTCAGTTTACTATGAAACCATAAAAAAAAACATAAGAAAACAAAAAAACTAAAAACCACTTTACGAGTTAAATGTCGTAAAGGTTTGAGTTTGAGATCTTTCCCGTTTCAATGACGACGAAAACTGTAGTAACTCAAGATACGATAGTATTCCGTGGATGATGCATACAAATCGGAGATACTATTAAATTCAATAGCAAAATTTTGGCTGCAGCATGTTCATCTCATAAGATACGACTTTCTTCGCCGAAAAAGATTATCTGAATAGAGCGTTTGGTGCACGTAACTCAAAACATGAAAAATTTGAGTTACTATAGTCTTCGTTGGAGGCGTCGATATATATTTTTCCTACCAATTAAGAAGCTGCCGGGGTTAACGGAGTCGTATCGTTGGGATCGGTGGATAATTGGGTTAATGGCCGGGAATTTAGGATGGCCTCAATCTGAACAAGCAATGTGTAAACATTTTCGTACGTAAACGAGGCATTGCCGGCAACTCGCCGCAAATGAAATTTGACCGACTTAACACCGGCTTCCCATAATCCGCCAAAGTGTGGCGAGTTAGGTGGAATAAACGACCAACCAATCGAAGCGTTTTCAATCAGAGTTTTGAGTTCGCTAGAGTTATGAATCAAGAACTGAGCTCCTGTACCACCCACGAAATTAGTTTCGTTATCAGAGAACATTCGATTCGGTTTCCCACGCCTAGCTGAAAATCGCCGAAGAGCAGCAATAAAACAGTCTTTACTATGTTCTTTCACTAATTCCAGGTGTATTACGTCGTAATTACAGCCAAATTACGACCCCCAATCGGCCAAAACCGATCGCGAATGCAAACCAACAAATGTTGCGGACCAACGTGTAATAGTTGTCCGTGCTTCATCTCAAATAGTAACCTTGCGAAGGCATGTTTACAAGAAATCACCATAGGAAATTTCTTATCGAGCTTGAGTTGAGGTTTTTGTTTTGGTATTGACTTGCTGGCAACAGTAGCCATTGGTTCGTCTTCATCCGATGTAGAATCACCTTGTGTTACAAATTGTCGACCCACAGGCTGACGAGAGTCAAAGTCAGGGTCTCGAATAGAATCATCGCTGTCGAAAGCCTAATCATCATCAGCATCTATTTGAGATAAGGTTCTTTTCTGTGTAATGCTAGTGGTGCTACTGGATGGTGTAGATTGTGAAGATCGATCTGGAATATCATCAGCATCAGAGTCTCCTCTAAGATCAGAATCGGCTGCCTGGTCATCGGTGATTTCATTTAGCCATGCAAACTGCTCTGTTGGGGTCAATTTGCTAAATTCTTTCAAATTCACTCTTTTTCTATAACTCATTGTCCTCTGGAAATAATGTTATAAACCTGTAAGTAATGTTTTGAAATACAGATCAATGAAAATATAACAACGTTGGTTATGTACGTTATGTCATTATGAAAATGTGGTTATGTCGGCTGTTACAACAAATATTATCCCGGCACAACTATAAACGGGAATTTTAACTATTACACCATGATTTGGGCATATTATTGTACGTACTTACCAATTTTCGCTTTATTTCTTCACATAAGCGTTTGTCGACCTATGTTTATATTAAGTTTTTGTGCTTATTTTAAAAGATCTATCTGTCGTGGTCACATGGCGAAATCCGTCAGTTCCCAAAAATCCTAGGCAGTTCATGAAGCGTCGGCATTTTGTGTAAATGTTAAGGATTTCGTTTTCTGACGAGGCTGTTCATGAAACGCCCGATCATATTCGGCAAATCGCGTACTCCATCTCGGTACACAATCTGCTGCAATAAAGGTATCGAAGGTTCACGAAACGACCAGCACAAAATAATAGATAGTCTCTACCACATCTATATCAGGTAACCACTTCTTGGAAGTTGACGCCATATCTTCTGCCTGACGTTTCTGGCCTTCATAACATTTTTCCCGTTGTAACTGTATTAGTTGTTCTGTAGTGCATAAATTGCACAATTTGTCATCAGTAGCACATGATATATGTATGAGAACTTTACATTTTTCACATATCTGACATGGGTCAATAACTGCACTCTGACACACCGGACAAATTACTACATCGTCTTTTGTCGCCATCTGTAGCTCAACAATTCCACAGTCCATATTATCACTTGATATGGAATCTACGTTTTGGATCTTTTCGTTAGTATCCAGTTCATTCTGCTCTAGTTCGATACCTAGCTCTTTCGTTGCTTCTGTGATCGGTTCTTCATACCGCTGTTCGTGTTCTTCTTCTCTAAAAACTCCCATTTCTTTCTCCTGATTTTCTAGCTCTTCTGTAGTTATATTTGAAAGAATGGTGGGCGGAAGATTTGTTGACTTCAGGCCAAATTTGGGGTCATGACCAAAAACTGCCTTATAAGGTGTCTGGCCTATCACTCTGTGCAACACATTATTTTTCTGCCATTGCGTAAAATAACACCCAACTGACCACCTGGTAGATTTATTATCACTCATCCACGACCGTAAGATGTTCTCGACATCTTGATTTGAACGCTCAACGCTGCCCTGGCTTTGAGGATGGCGAGGTCTTCAGTGAACAATTAATAACTGTGGCCACAAGATTTTCAACTCTTCTACTATCTTGTTCGCAAATTCACGCCCATTGTCGCTTTGCAAAATCAATGGCGCGCCAAATTGGAGAAAAATCTTCAAAAGCTCTTCCGCAACGTTTACAGCGTGTTTTGAATGTAAAGGCCTCAGACATACGTACTTGGTGGAATGGTCTTGATAGTTCAATAGCCATTTATACTCACCTCAGGGTATAGATTGAAAATCGATTAAATCTACTTGACCTCTGGTCATAAAATCTTTAGAAGTAAGGGCTCATTCACAATGAACATAAACATAATACGTAGAACGTAATACGTAATTCGTAATTATTAATTTTACGTACGATGTTCACACAGAACGTAACGTAAATGTCTATTGCGTCTGCGCAGTGCGTTCTTGTGTATATTTTGACACATAGTACATATATCGTGTGTGTTGTTAAATACAAAGTGTATTATTTTTAAATAATGAACTTAGAAATAATGTCTGTATTGTTATTGTCGCTACTGTGGAAAAGACGGAAGAGACAAAATCAATCAAAAACAAATACATATACAAATCGTCGTAGGTGGGTTCGTCCTATTAATCGAAACCGTGAAGAAAGCGGAGAATATCGAAGATTAGTTTTGGAAATGAAAATGCATGATGAGGAATGGTTTTTTATGTACACAAGGATGACCCCTGAATTATTTGAAGAACTATTAACATTACTTGGTCCCAGTTTATTAAAGGAGAGTGTACGAAAGCCTTTGTCACCCCCTCAGCGCCTGGCAATAACTCTAAGGTAGTGAAATTATAATACATACATAGGTAAAAGACATTACTTTACATATTGTTGTAGGTATCTTGCAACGGGAGACTCTTAATTTTCAATAGCCAGTGGATATCGAATAGGAAAATCTACAGTGTGTACTATAGTTCGAGAAGTGACACAAATTATTTCGGAAAAATTGTCACCCATTTATTTACCAGCTCCAACAAAAGAAAAATTAAAAGATGTATCAAGTAATTTTTTAAAAATATGGAATATGCCTAATTGTGTTGGAAGTATATTGACGGAAAGCACATAAAAATATTCGCACCGCCAAACAGTGGTTCCCTATTTCACAATTATAAAAATTATTTTATCATAATTTTACTAGGAGTATGCGATGCCAATTATAATTTCTTATATGTTGATATTGGAGGTTTTGGATCAATAAGCGACGGGGGTACTTTTAGTAGCTCAACATTTGGCCAAAGCATAATAAACGGCACAATTCCTTTCCCTCAAGAGAGTGAACTTCCCAATAGTAATATATTTATGAAGAATTATTTTGTAGGGGATGCAGCTTTTCCATTGCTACAGAATTTAATGCGACCATATCCTGGAAAATTTCTTAATATATTAAAAGGTGTTTTTAATTATCGATTGTCGCGTGCTAGACGTGTCATAGAAAATACATTCGGAATATTTGTTGCTAGATGGCGAATTTTTCATCGTTCAATTTGTGCAGCACCTGATACAGTGGATAATACGATTAAAGCCACAGTTTGCCTTCACAATTTTATAAGGAGTACTAAAAAGGCTTGTGATCGTTATACACCGACAAATTTTGTGGACACTGACGATACTCGGCAAATGGCGAGAAGAGGTTGAAGGGTGTGTATTAGATAGTTGTCAACGACTTGGAAGCAACAACGCATCTATTGTTGCATATGAACAACGTGACAAATTAGCCAAATACTTTTTAACTCCTGCTGGATACAAAAAAGGGCAAATTGAATATGTGAAACGCAAGTAAGAGAGAAATGACATTTGTATCTTTTTGTTATCTTTAAAATAAATAAAGCAAACTGCTACATATTTTTAAAATAATTTTTATTTTCGTTTATTCGTACAACACTTGCAATATTTTTTGTTTTTTTATTGCTCTAATGTTATCATCTTCAATTGCGTCTAATTCCGCTGCAATTAATTGCCCAAACCTTTCTCCCAATGTGGATTTTTTATTTGCCATTGCAGCTAATGTTTTCAATATTTTGTTATTCACATCATTGTTTGCCATATTGGCACTTTTTGATGAAGATGATGGGGTTAAATTCATTCGCCGGACTTTAGTTGGTTTCGGTGATGGCAACTCTTCAGTTGGTCCTGTAAAATTAAATATACAGTTAAAAAAGAGATTAGTTGACAACATAATATATTATTTATGTAACATAAAATACCTTCAATTACCATTTCCTCTCCCTCTTGACTGAATTCTGAGTCTATTGACACTGCCAATGGTAATTCTGGCGAATCACTGCTGACACTGACTTCTCTCACCATGTTGGTAATAGTTTTTCTATGGAAATACATCGTAGATATATATAATTAACTTGAAAAATAAATTTTTTGATTGTTTTCTTACCTTCTTTCTTGTACGTGTACATCTAAAAAATGCATATCTTCGTAGAAGGGCCACTTATAGAAATCTTTTGAACCACTTCCACTGGGAACGTTTTTAATTTTCTTCCTTACTCTTGTATATTTGTCTTTCAAACTTGTCCAAACTTTTAAACAGTTGTCAGCTACATATAAAAATAATATTTAAAACATTTTAATTACTCTATATAATTGCTTTACGTGTTGAGGAATGTGTCGTTGCTATTTCTAACCAAGCATTTTCTTTCATAATGGTATCCTTATAATTTTTTGATTTCTTATTGTAAAGAAAATCATACATTTTCACTAAGTTAATTAATATTTCTATGTCTAGTTCTACGTTTTCAATCACCAATTTTAGACGCCAAGCACCACAATTTTAATTTTAAAAAAGATACAGCTAGAAAGATAAAGATATTTGTTTTTTTATAGAAAGACAATATTGGAAAATACGAGTTTATACACTCCAAATACACACAGCTACATATTAAATACCTACATCGTATACATACCTTTTTTAAATATATTTTATTTCTCATACACTTTTACAACTCTTACAAACAACTAAATAATACAAGCAACAAGTAACTGAATTTTGAGGTTAGCTTGGTTCAGTTCTCCGCGTTTTGTTACTGCCAATTTTAACGTTAAAAATGTCCCCATAATTAACACCAATTTCCCCTATTCCTCGACGTAATCTAAACGTAAAGTTGAAATTAGTTCAACTTTACGTATGCGTTACGGGCGCCCGTAATTTATACGTAAACGTAATTCTTACGTTTGCTTATTGTGAACGTATCAATATAAAACACTGTAATTTATCTTTTAACGAATTACGTATTACGTTCTACGTGTTATGTTTATGTTCATTGTGAATGAGCCCTAATCGGTTTTAGAACAATTTTTGATACAATTTTATTCTTTTTGGTTTGACAATATTTACATGCCTTCAAGAAGATTTCTACGCAAGGCCTCGAAATAAAATATTTTTGTTGAACTATATTGATCATTTTATCTCTGGACCCATGGTCACAACTAATATGAATATCTAATAACCTTTCAAATAGTTCTTCTTCTGGGATGACATAAATTAAAGGATCGTTTTTTTCCTTAACTTTTTTTATGACATGTTGTTGATCGCAACATACATACATTTGCAGTAAATAATACTCTCTTCTGCTTTTCTTGCTATTCTTTTGTTTTGCTTGAGTAATTTCCAGCGCCATCTATTAATTCTCTATTTTATAACCTCAAAACAACAAAAACATCAATACTTATTTCTTTTACTTGATCGACCGTGAACGGGCGCTTATTAGGTTTTTCTTTGTAGTAACGACTGTAGTGTTCTTTAAACAGCTCCTCATCACTACTTCCAGAATGATTTTCCATGCTTGCTAATTTAGTTAGTGCTGGTCGTTTCGTGAACCAGCGATTCTGCCTTTGTTGCGGCAGATTGTGTACCGAAATGGAGTACGCGATTTGCCGAATATGATCGGGCGTTTCATGAACAGCCTTGTCAGAAAACGAAATCCTTAACATTTACACAAAATGCCGACGCTTCATGAACTGCCTAGGATTTTCGGGCACTGACGGATTTCGCCATGTGACCACGACGTATCGACTGTTAAAGTCCTGCTACAAAAACCTGAAACACTCTGTATATTTTCAACAAATTTTAGTTTTCGCTAGGTGAATGTTATATTGAAAAATGATATTTAAGGTAAATTGATCGCAAGATATTTTGGCGTATCCGACGTTTTGGTAGAATATACCAGAGGTGTTTGATGTCTCTGTTGTTTTGAAACTTGTAGAATTGACGAGTATTATAGTGGAGAAGAAGACGGGTAGAAAGGATGATAAGCAGGTTTTAGTTGTCCTCATCTGGAATGAAGTTTCAACATATTAGTATGGTTGTGACTTCTTTATTAGGTTTTATTAGTACTCTTATGGTATTGTTGTTATTTACGTGTTTTATTCTGAACGGACCTTTGTAGTTTGGGGTTAATTTTTTACTAAGGCCTGGTTTAATATTTTTGGTTAACATATAGACGAGGTCATCGACTTTAAATGTTATGTTCCTTGTATTCTTGTCATAATACTTTTTTTGATATTTCCTTAGATTGCAATAAATTCTGACGAGTGATTTTGTGTGTTGTTTAATTTGAATTTTAAATTAGAATAATAGTCGTCATAACAGTAGCGGAATTCTGGACACAACTACTTAAAGCATGAAACAACTACTTTTAATTAACCTTTAGGAACAAAAAATTAAAGGTAAATGGAATTTGAATTTAAAAATCACAATTTTTGAACTGTACTTTCCTTAAATCTATTTCTCCTTTCTGGAGACTCTTTGTCAATAATGACAACAGTGCTTTTAATTGCTTCTTAAAATTCTAAAAATCTTCGTAGCATATAAGATGTGGAATTCCACCTTGTTGCAAAATCTAGAAATATTTTTAGTGGCACTTCAATCCCAGATTTTATTTGAAATTTATGTAATTTATCATTAGCAATATTGCTTTTTCTCAAATGTTTTACAATCTCTCTTACTTTGTTAATAGTTTCCTATATTTCGACATTTTTTAAAGCGTCTTTTACTATTAGATTGAGTGTATGTGCCATACAACCGAAATGTTTCCAACCGGCTAATTGTATGGCGTTTGTAATATTCGAAGCATTATCGGAAACGGCAAATATAACTTTTATGGCAAATGTTCCATTCGTCATCTGTAATTTTTTTTTAAACTGCTGCCAAATTGGCGCAAGTCAAACGCAGAACAATTTAATAATAAGGACATTAATTTGTATTGATCATCTAAAAAATGTGCGATAACAACAATAAAATTCTCTGTATTAGAGAATCTAGAGGTCCATGTATCTGTTGTTATACAGAACGTTTTTTCTGAATTCAGTAATGTTTTTATTATAGGTTTGTTTTGGCATCAGTACAAAATAGTTGGAAATTGTTCTGCGCATGCGCACTAGGTTTTGCGCGTTCTGACAGCACAAATTTTAGATGTCCGTTTACTAATTGGTCGTTCTAGCAGTAAGAAATTGTAGTCGGTAATAGTTTACAAACTGTCCGAACAATTCGTGGATTGTTTGAAAACTTGTAACGCCGAAAATTCCAAACAAGACACAAATTGATAGGATCGGGCTTCGGTAACTCAGTGAAGAAGGGAGGGTTCTGATCTAAATAAGGGCGCCACGAACTTAAACCGAAACCTACCAATACAAACCTTTGACCCAGTAAGTCCGAATCCAATGTCAAAGGAAAAGGAACAAGTACTAACATACACAAAAAAAGTAATGTTGAGATAGTAGATTCAAATAACTATATTGAAATGTGTTCAAAAATTGACTAACTTTGTTAATCAAAATAATTATATTAATAATATAACTAGTATTATACCAATAATGTTCTTTAATAATGAGAAGTAAGGATATGAAATTAATCTCCAAAAACCTTATCGCTTTTGACTCGAGAAACCAAAAATAAAATACAAATAATAAAATCCTGAAATAAAGTAAAATTAGTACACAATAAATTATCATCAGCTGATGTAAATATAATTGTGGGACACCCAAAATAAGTGTCAAAAAAAGTAAACAAGCCCGTAACGTCCAAGCGATAAGTTAACAAAATTAAAAGAAAAATATCTATCTTAATAAATTTTAAATCGGTGATAATAACAAAAAAAAATATATATATATATCGAGTTGAAGACTCTTAATCAAAAAGTATTAATTAATTAATCATTAAATCAAAAACACGAAGAATTAAATCTTTCTCTTATAGTTACTAATCCTGAATTGCGCCAAGACCGCCAAGACGCGTCCGACGTCCAAAAAGGTTATGTTTGGTTATGTTTTACTTGCGTAGACCCTTTGCGCAGCTTCCTATCCCTCTCTCTTTCTTCGGAAGGAACCGGACGTAGAAAACGGAAATTAAGATGGCTGCTCTCAGGAAATGTAAACCACGAGGTCGAAACCTCCACGAAGACGATGGTTGGTTGACGTAAGATTGGATTCGATGCTTTACAACGGAAAACCTCTTGCTCGAAGATATATATATATATATATATAAATATATATATATTAGTAAAAGTTTATAATAAGACGCAAAAATAAAAAGCCTAAAGGGAAAACAAAAATTAAAATCCGAAATATGAATGAACAAAAACCCATAACCCAAAAATAAACAATGCAAAACCCCAATTAGCGTTTTACCTGACGATCTATAACGGCTTCACGTGATGGGTGAAATAAACCACGAATAAATCCGGAAAAAACTATCCGATGAAACACTCCAACAGGTGCCAAAATAAATGAGTATAAGAGCCAATCCGGAAAATCCGCAAACGAAGATCTTGCCAAAACACCAATGCAAAACTCTTCTAAGACACTCTTATCTCAAAAACGTGGTATCAGCCCATTTAAAAATCAGACGCCTCCTCAATCGAACCCAAAGACACAACGGTTCGAAGACGACTGGTTAAACCGCTTGTAACCACGAAAACAATATCTAAACGGAAATAAATCCCCCCACCCCAATCAATCATAACATAATAAAAATCACTAACAATGCATCGAATCTTACGTCAAACCAACCATAGATGGTGTTAAATTATGAAAATAATAAAATTACGAAAAATGAAAATAAAAACCGCTACAAACTGACAGTTTGTGACATGCGCAAAAGGTTGTTTTTGTAATACTACTTAACCTTTTCTCTTAATTGTCAAACTACAATTCTACGACTCTGACGATGAGTTGGAATTGCTAATGAGCAACCAAAAAAGATTTAAAAACAAACATTATTTTGAAGAAACAGTTTCCACGTATAGCAAAGAGATCTTCTTTGAGCATTTCCGAGTGAGTACGAAGGTTCTCGGGCAATTAACTGGACGATTCAAAAGATCTTCGCAATATAACGAACAACACACTGGTGGAAATGGGAAGTTGACTGCACGCAAGCAGTGTGCAATTTATTTATGGTTTGCAGGACACCAAACCGCCTCATTCCGTGACGTAGCGGACCGGTTCGACATATCCATAAGTTGCTTATATACGGTTATTCGAAGAGTTACATACTTTCTAAGCAACTTATCAAGCGAAATAATTAAATGGCCTGATGAACAAGAAAAAAGAGCAATTGAAATGGCTTTCCAGGTGCAATTGGGGCGATTGATGGTATAGTAGAAACCACGAGAGCTGGCAGTGACAGATCGCTTAAAAATGGTATGAATCAAGATATGGACGTACGACTTAGATTATTTCACTATATACATTTAAATGTAGGTTATGTTAGTAATGGAGGTTATATGTCAAACATTGTCAAAGATATTATTTAATGATTTTCCTTTCAAAGAAAACATTTTCGGTTTGTGAAAACATTAACAGATTCATGACAACGCTGACAAGACGTTTCGATTTGAGGTTATAATTATAGAGTTACATCCCTTAGAAGAACAGACGTACTTTTTCGACGTGGCCATTTGAATT